ATATATATATATATATATATATATATAGGCCATTCCATGCAAAGTTGCATACTTTTGTCAATCGATTACTCAGGTTTTTTTGCTTTTTGCCTATTTGTAGCACTTGATACTGGATTGTGAAATCAAGAAAGTTTACCTCAAGAAGTGTGCTGATGGCAAAGTTAGACCGTTCTGAAGTGCGAAAACAAACGCGATTTGTCTTCAACATGGTCACATTCAAGAACTTATAGCTTTTCTAATTTTTGATGGATTTTTATACTCTTTACTTTACTCGAAAGCTGTCTCCTGTAGATTCAGAAAAATGTTGAAGTTTTTATAATAAAAAATTTTATTCGAAATTAAAATAAGAACAGGGATTTGAAAAATCTTTTCAAAAAAACGACATTTTAAGTTTTTTAAAAAAGCTGTATTTTTTGAATAAACAATTTTTGCATAAAATATCAAAATTGCAGGTTAGTATTCTTCTAATATCACGAAGTAAGGTGCGATTAGTGACAACAGACCGCAAAAAATGTCTAATTGAAGCAGCATTTTGGCGCTTTTGCAAGTGACAGAGCCTCTATTTCAACTAAAATTTTATTATTATGATAATATATTTAATTCTCATATTATCCTTCAACTTAGATACTTTTATTAATGGATACAGTTAAAACTTTTTCACTTTCAAACAAATTTACGAAGTTTTTTTGGAAAAAAACATTTTTTCAATTACTTTTTTAGTTTGATTCGCTTTGTTTTCTTACTGAACCCTTTGAACCCAAACATTTCATACTTAGTACTGTTTTTTGATCGATGGTATAATGCGGCGAAATTTCTTGTACTTTTGAATGGTAAATCTACTTGAAAATGCGGTGCTCGAGTTGCTCCTTACTCTTCATATACTCGCGAAAATAATAGAGTCATTAATATTTCTTTTTATTAGTTCGGAGTCTATTTGTAAAGGTCATTCTGAGTTAAGATTTGGACTGAAAGTGTCTCTTTCATGCCGGCTATCGCTGCTAGTCTTTTCAGTATGCCTCCAAGTTTCAAAATAATGTGTAGCTGAGTAAGTGAGAACAAAACAATACTCGCAATTAAAAAACAGTACTGGTTGTGAAATATTTGGATGAGAAAAGTTCAGTAAAGAAGCAGAGCGATAAAAATTGAAAAAGTAATTATATTAGTAATTTTTTCTAAAAAAAACTTTGTACAATTGTTCAAAGTGAAAGAAATTTGACTGATTACCCGTTAGTGAAGTAGTAGGGGTGAGGAATTTTATAAGAATTATAAATGGTATTATAATTTTAGTTGAAACAGAAGCTCTATCGCTTTTGGAAGCGCCAAAATGCTGTTTCAATTAGGCATTTTTTACGGTCTGCTGTCACCAATCATACTTTACTCGTGATACTAGAAAATTACCATCTTGCAGTTTTGATATTTTGTGCACAGATTGTTCACTCAAAAAAAATATCTATCATAGAAAATTTAAAACGTCGTTTTTCGAGAAGAAACTTTTTGAATCTTGTTTTTATTTTGATTTTGAGTGAAATTTTCTGCTATAAACATCTTGACATTTTTTTGAATCTACAGGAGACAGGCTTTCGAGTAAAATGAAAATTGTACAAATCCATCATAAATGAAGAAAGCTACAAGTACTTGAAGGCAACCATGTTGAAGACAAATTGCGTGTTTCCCCACTTCAGAACGGTCTAATTTTACCAATAGCGCACTTCTTGAGGTAAACTTTCTTGATTTTACAATCCGATATCAAGTGCTACAAAGAGGCAGAAAGCGAAAAAAATCTGAGCGGTCGACTAATAAAAGTGTACAACTTGGCATGGAATGGCCCATATGCTTATTTTATTCAGAGAGAAGTTTTTTAATAGATTATTGTTCCAGTTCTTGCAGTTGGATTTAAGTGTATTTCTTAATATATATTTGTTCGATATTAATAGGTAAAAGTTAACGTTTATTGCTCAAAACAATCCAAAAAAAAAATTATATGAGCAGCAATAAATGAAGATACCATTCTACCAAAAATTCAGCATTTTTTAAATCTGTTTTTTTGATCTTCTCAGTTTAGGTTTTTGTAAATATAGTTTTCAGTTTAGGAGTCTGAAAAAAATGGGTTAGCTCCAGGAGCTGAAATTGTTTCACTTTGCATCGGTGATCACCGTTTATCTACAATGGAAACTGGTGCTGCACTGATGCGCGCAGTTAGTTTTGGTTCTCTGAACGTATTAGCATATTTTTAAAAATTTCTTTTTATTGCTTCTTTTATTGCTGTCGTTTCTAACCGTGTCTTTTAGTTCAGTCGTTGCGCCGAACTCAAAGTGGACATCGCAAATTTCTCGTACGGTGAAGAAAGTGATTTTCCTGACAAAGGGTCAGCCGATTCACACATTTCTTTTATTTCTCAGTTTTTTATTGGCTTTGTCTGTTATCTAAAAGTAATCTCTTGTGCCAAATGTTCCTTTTTTTTTGTTCCAAAGCTCGAGTATTTCTGAGGTTTCGTTCAAGTCGGGAGGGGGGGGAGGGTGGTTGGTATGCAGAATCCAATTGTCAGTTCTTCCCTTTACATTAGATTATTCGCAGTATAATGTACAAACAAAGTTCACTCTGAATTTCTTGCTAGTTTAATATTCGGTGTGGAGCAGTCGTAAAATTTCGTTATTCTTGAGTAAAAATTCAACAAAACCATGACGTTTTGAAAAATTTCCGTGATTTAAGACGGATTATTGAGGCGTTAGAAATTATGGTTCGTAGATATGGGGTTTTGCTTGTTGCCTCAGCAGGGAATAATGGTCCGGCTCTTTCAACTGGAGGTTCACCTGGGTCTACGTGTTCCGCTGCTATTGGTTAGTTTGAAGATTCTTCTTATGGCAAAATCTTTCTTTTGTTGTGCAAATTTGAAGTTTCTTTAGAATTTACGGGCCACTAGTTTGATCGTCTCATTTTTACCCATCTGGCCCTTCTGGTACTAAAAAATTTTCTCTTGATATTCAAATAGTGTTTGATCATTTTTATTCATTAGCTTTTTTACGCTATAAAAGCTTCAGAGTTCAAACTCAAATTTAGGGAACTTATCTTAATTCATGAAATGTGCTAGGCATCTGACTCTGACAGAAATCTTATTTTTCCTAGATTATATTTCATTTTTGAAGTTCTTTGAAATGATTTTGGAAAACTGCACAAAGCTTTAGTTTATTTATTTTAAATTGATAGTATCCATTAATAGTTCTGATAAGTCTCCAAATATTCCATTTTTGCTGATATCACTGCGAGTATTGTTTCTCTTCGAAAGTCACATACAGTCGATGGTTTAGCGCCCTTTGACCTAAAACTCTTTAAATGTAACTCTTTTTCAAAAAGAAGAGTTAAGTTTTTTGGGTGGGTGGGAACGGTCTAACAAAATTTTCAAAATTTTGTTTTTTTGAATGTTAAATTGGAAGGGGTATTATTCTTTCTTATAGTAGTGGTTACCTTTTTAGTCCATTTCAAAATTGACTCTTTATTTAAAAATTGCAGGTATTGGCGCTTATTTGTCTCCTGAAATGATGGAAGCTATGTACAGCATGCGGGACAAAATTCCTGGCACATTTTACCCTTGGTCTTCACGAGGCCCGAGGTAAACTATGTTATGAATTTTTACTACAAAGTACTTTTAGAGATTTCTACGGCAATGGTCTTGTTTATTTCTTAATTCGCTGCTAGTTTTGATTAGATGGTAAATTTTGCTTTTTTCTTTAACCTATAGTGTTGATGGAGCATTGGGAGTATGCTTATGTGCTCCAGGAGCAGCCATAACAGGGGTTCCTAAGTTTACCTTGCGATGCGCTACATTAATGAATGGAACATCTATGAGTGCTCCTAACGCTTCTGGGAATATTGGTTGGTTGATTCTTGTCAAAATTTCGCTTTTTATTACTAATTTTTTTGGAAATTATCCCGGAGTTCGAAAATTGTTTTTTTTTTTTTTTTTTTTTTTTTTTTTTTT